GACCCGATGTCAAAGGTCATGAAAGCACCGAATGATAAAAGAACCGTACGAAATGACGAAAGGGCCGAAAGGTAAAAGCACCAAATGATAAAAGAGCCGAAGGGCGGCAAAAGCACCGAACGTAATGTTAAAAGCACCGAACGTAATGTTCAAAGCACCGCACGTAATGTTCAAAGCACCGCACGTAATGTAAAAGCACCGAACGTAATGTTAAAAGCACCGAACGTAATGTAAAAAGCACCGAACGTAATGTAAAAAGCACCGAACATAATGTAAAAGCACCGAACGTAATGGTAAAAGGGCCAAATAGCAAATGCGCCGAACGGAAAAGAGCCACCAAAGGCAGTAACGGCGTTCCATAGCATCCTGCTGCAGACCGGCAGCGAGGCGAGGTCAGCCACGCTTTGCAAAAAGCAGCCAGACATTGCAAAATCGTTAATGCAAAGGAATAGCCTGGGCGATACCATTTTCGCGAAGGTAAATTGACTTTCGACATAAACCTTGTAAAAAAAAAATATGATCGACCACTTTTATGGTTGCTGCCCTCTACAGTATTTCAACGTCAGGTTAAGTTATTGTAGGTGGTGGACAACTCTGGGTAACTAACCCAGTAGTCATGGTTGGGGCGAGTGGATACAGAAAGCTTCTGTATTCGGGGGTGCAGGGCGAAGGCCTTGATAAAGCAGACTAAATGTTGTGGCAGATAATGTCCTGGTTTATTTGTCTCCTGTCTCTTTTTTTTGTGCACTAATTTTTTTTTTTTCAAGACGCTCAGATGTGCTTTCCAGCACTGGTCTGTTAATCATTGGCGGATCTGGAGGGGGGGGGGATAGGGTGGCTACCCACCCCCTTCGTTTACTGTGGGAAAAAAAATTATGGTCACTCGTCTTGCGTGTGTGCTCTTCGTGTACTCTGGTAAAATATACACTTTCTATTTGAGGCCTAATTTTTTTTCAGGCGGCCACCTAAGATCATCCAGCAGTCTACTAATTCCAAAAAAAATTTCGAATGTGAGGGGATGGCCGTCCCAAAATGGTTAATGTATATGATTTCGTAAAAGTTTTCAAGTTCGAATATGAAAAAATGATGATGAAGCTGGGATACAGTACCGGTATCAAGAATGATGTTCATGATCGTTGAGAATGATTTTATTAATTATTTTACTGTGATTGGGCTATATTTAATTCAATTACATTTTGCATAAACTTCTTAAAATGTTTTATTTTTACTCCGGCAAAACTCTCTTCGTCCCCACTGGGATTGGGGGTGGAACCAGACCTCATGCCTTCCCGACGGGGAATCTACTCCCACTTAGCCCCTCCGCAGTGCCGCCACTGATTATCATGATATGTTTAACTTTATATTTCAATATAATTTTGATGTTGTCATTGTAATTGTGGTAACTACAACAGTCAGTGGCGGATCCAGGAATTTGAAATAGAAGGGGCTCGGATAAGGACTTCGATGAAAAATTATGATAATGGCACCAGGCGGCTTCCCCAAAGGCAGTAGCAGTATCGTCATTATCATCAGTATTACTTATTATTGTTATAGTTCTTTTAATTAAAATCCTTCTAATTACTGAAAATTTATTGTTCAATACGGTAGGCCTCTGACCATTTGCATTAATTATTCAAACAATAACGGTATATTATGTTCCTATATTTGAGCATTGTCATCTATTTGATTTGTTACATGTGTTATCTATGCCTAACAGAACAAAATCTATGAAATCGACAAGAATAAAAATACGAAAGAAGATTTTTCTTATTAAAGTCAGATTCCAGAGGAAAACAATTTTTTGATATGTTGTAGGTCTGATTTTTCCAGGACAGAAAAAAGTTGTTTGTTGACACAGAACTGGGGAACAGTGAATGAGATACAGATTTTTAAATATTTAAAAACTGGGGAAAAGGGGTAAAATTTTGCAGTTTTTTTAAATATTTTTAATGCACTATATTGTTCCATGTTAGTGTTAGATAAGTATATGGGAGACCATATGAGCTCCTTTCCGTCCCTGTGAGGTATTCAAAGGTATGTTTAGCAGGTGAAACACATATTTCCGCGATAGTGTTTTCTTTAAATAGCTGTGTTCGACGCACTTAACTTAATCGCAAATTAAGGCTAGGTAAATACCACGTGACCATATGAACTCCTTTCGTCTCCTGTGAGGTATTTAAAGGTACGTTTAGCAGGTGAAACATACATTTCCGCGAGAGAGTGTTTTCTTTAAATAACTTTAAATTGTGTTCGACGCACTAAATTTAATCCAAAACTAAGGTTAGGTAAGTACCAGGTGACCAGTGCAAACGTTTACTGTAGCCTGTGAGTGTATTTAAAGGTGCTGTGTGTTTTGATAACATTTCCGCGAGAGAGGGCTTTTTCCTTTAAACAGTTTTAAGTTGTATTTAATGCACTATATTGTTCCATGTTAGTGTTAGATAGGTATTGGGAGACCGTTTGAGCTCTATTCCATCCCATGTAAGGTATTTAAAGGTACATTTAGCAGGTGAAACACACATTTTCGCGAGAGAGTGTTTTCTTTAAATAGCTTTAAATTGTATTCAACGCACTAAATTTAATCCAAATTAAGGTTAGGTAAGTACCAGTGCAAACGTTTATTGTAACCTGTGAGTATATTTAAAGGTTCTGTGTGTAGTGATAACATAATTTCCGCGAGAGAGTGTTTTTTTCCCCCAACAGTTTAAGTTGTATTTAATGCACTACATTGTTCCATATTAGTGTTATAGAAGTATTTGGAGACCATATCAGATCTTTTCCATCCTCAGTGAGGTAGTTAAAGTTACGTTTTTAGCGGGTGAAACACACATTTCCGCGAGAGAGTGTTTTCTTTAAATAGCTTTAAATTGTGTTCGACGCACTAAATTTAATCCCAAATTAAGGTTAGATAAGTACCAGGTGACCAATGCCAATGTTTACTGTAGCCCGTGAGAGTATTTAAAGGTGCTGTGTGTTGTGATATCATAATTTCCGCGAGAGAGTGCTTTTTCCTTTAAAGTTTTCTGTAAGGTATTTAAAGGTTCGTTTAGCAGGTGAAACACATTTCCGCGAGAGAGTGTTTTCTTTAAATAGCTTTAAATTGTGTTCGACGCACTAAATTTAATCCAAAATTAAGGTAAGGTAAGTACCAGGTGACCAGTGCAAACGTTTACTGTAGCCTGTGAGTATCTATGTAGCAAGCTGCCATTATGTTATGTCTGTCTTTTGCATTTATATTAATAATAACTCTATGTATCAATTTTCACTCTGAGGAAAGTGGTGATCATGCTGGAAATCATGAAGCGCGTATTTTAATTCTCTGAATAATCATCTTTCGATTTTTTTAACAATTCTGACATTCAATAATCTTTCAGTCTCTTCTATGTCTTATGTCTATATACTGGTCATCCGGATATCATCATATAATTATGTTAATACTGATAAAGTTAGTTATTGATAGATATTCAACGTTATTTTTCTTGTTATTATTGTCTGTTTCACACAACTTGGAAAATGCAAGGTTGTATTAATTCTTAGATAACCACGATTACAGTGATATATCTCATTAGTTATTCTGCCAGATCATTAGGGAAAAGAGACTAACTTTCCTTTAGTAGGCCTATATTATCTAAAATTTTAATTATAACTTTATACCCCTATGTAGTGTTTAATGTATTGAAAATGCGAACAGATTATATGAAATATATCTGTTCACAATATATGAAATGTATTCGTTACACGTTCCCGCATGTCCCTGCCTCCTTTTATGGTTTATTATATTTGCTTGTTTAATCATGGAGGAATTAATTTAAAATTAGTTTAAGATTAATTCCTCTATGGCTTAATAAAGCAAGTGTTGATGTTTGTTTGTTTGTTTTTTTTTCTTAATATTAGATAATTTCATATACATACCGCTGGAAAATAATTTTGTTCGGGAAAGACGTACACCCTTAAGCAACATCGGATGTTTTATTCCCGAAAACAACCCCATTATTATTGTTTATAATTAAAATCTACATAAATATATTGAAAACTATGTTAATTTGAACTTTAAACAAACTGAAATGTAGTGAGAGCCAAGACAAATTTAAGACACCCACTGGTGTAAATAGGCCTAAGGAAAGAAAGGATCGAGACTTAAACCAAAATTGAGTGGTTGACGTGTTCATCGCACACTATTGTTAATTACAATAAGGCCTATGTATATCGAATCCTATAATATGACCTGGTATGCATCTTGATGAGTTTTGTTGTACATTATGCTGAAATATCAAATTATAAGTGGGGTGGGTACGTAATCTTAGTGGCCAAACACTTGTGAGCAAGTATACTGTCCTTGCATTCAGACTGTGTTCTCGGCACATGTTCTCGGTACATGATATTCTCGGCATACGTCAATTTTTGTAGTCTGAACGTGTGCCATAAAGGAATTTATGTCGAGCACAAAATGTTCTAGCGAGAACCCAGTTGAACCACGTTCTCGGAACAAAATGTTTTCGAACTACGACTCTGGAATGAAGTCTGAACGTGTGCCGAGCATAAAATGTTATAACTGGGCGGGCTTAAGTGACGTGACCTGACCTGCTTTGACCATTCTTCCGGGGCGCAATGTACACATGCTGTTCATGAATAGTACGGCGGTACCACTGCTCTTGATTAATTTATGCTTAGGCCTAATTTTGGTGAAAAAAACAAAATGCCGGAAACATGTACTGACAGAGGAAGCACATGGAGTGCAGTCGAAATGAATTGCGTAGTTGTAGTTTGGGGAAGAAGGGAGATAGAAGCACAGACTACATGCAAAGTATCTGGGAATAAGCAACTGTTCCAATGGGTATCCGACGATCTTGCAGAAATGGGATTTCCACGAAGACCCTGGGATCGTATAAGAGACAAATTTAATAAAATGAAGAGAGAGTACCGAGGAATAAAAGATCAGAAAAACAAGTCCGGCAACTAAAATGATGATTTGAAACTTCCGTCGTGGTTTTCTGCTATGGATGACATCTTGGGGACCAAGCCTTTCTACTGAGCCAGTTGTCATATTCGACAGCAGGGCCGGGGGTGCGCGAGACAAGAGTAGGCCTAATGCGACCGACAACAGTACCTCAGCCTCGGGCTCAGCCAGTACTTGCCACTGGGAAGCAAACGGAGACCGGGACAACGACCACTCAGATTCAGAATCCACAGTGCAACTAGAAGATTATCTTGGTAATTATTTTTTTTATTTACACGGAAATTCACTGGGGCAGAGCTGGAACACGTTATGTACAGGCTACAGCTACCCACCAGATTTCCTTTTTATTCTACTACAAGCTACTGTACTAGCATACTACTTAGCTTTATAGCTATAAGCCTAAAATGTATACTATTGATAAGCTGCTAGTGTTCATATTTATTTTCATTTAATTTATTAAAATTTTAACTTAGACACAGATGATTCGCATTCTGGAAGTACTGATGCAGCTGGATCAGGATCCACACCTTCCTCTTGTGCCTCTACAGCTAGCGGTACAGACAAAGGTGAGTTATATAGTCATTACTCAAAAGGTGGAGTGATCGGTTAATAGAGTACATGTACATAGTAATATTTATATTCATTTCATTTTTCAGAAACTCGATCAAAGAAAGCAGCAAGGAAGGGAGTCAAGAGGGGCCCAGTAAACAAAGGGAAAGCACCAGCAAAACGATCGAGCCGCATGTCCTCTGCCATCGCGCAGGTAAAAGAAGAAGTGTCACAAGAAATGAAGGAATCAGAGGAGGAAAGTTATAAACAATACAAAGAATTGATGGCACACATGTCTTGATCAGAAATACGCAATGAGGAAGTAAATAAGCAGTGGCTGCAAGTTATGGAAAATCAGATGCAACATGAAAGGGAATTCCAAGTGTCTGTCATGAACATGATGGGAGTGATGACAGCTTCACTGTCAACATTTATGCACTCATTCCCACCATCGTTCCGGACATCCCCACCACCATTCCCGATGTCCAGGCCATCGTTCCCAGCATCTTATTCCTCCTTCCAGACAAACACACCATCTTTTCCAACAACCAGAACCTCGTCGCCAATGTCAGACGTCAACCCGTCTTTCCATAACTCTACACCATCATTCCCGACATGCAGGCCACAGCAAATGTCCACACCATCTTACCAGACGTCCTCACCATCGTACCATATGTCCAGCCCATCGTTGAACATGTCTGATCTATCTTCTCAGACATTCACTTCGTCAGTCCGTATGCCCAGGTCATCAATGACTGCAGCTAGTTCTGCATTTACATTTACTATGTCCACACCGTCATTTTCGAAAGCAGTCCCTAGTCAACCATGCATTGATCAATACCCAATTAATGCCAATAACAGTGATGAAGAGGAACCAAAAACATACAAACACATTTAAGTTGTGTTCCTGGTTTCATCTATAATAGTGAACTAAATATAAGTTTCGTTTATTCTCCATTGAAGCATAAAAGTTTTGCATTAACCATTAAGTGTTTACATAGTTCAAGTGTTTAAATGTTTTTCGAATTGATTGTTATTCTAGGTAATAGACAGCAACATAACTTTTTAAAGTCTTTAATAAAACATGTATTGTACAACAATATATTTTCGTTCAAACTTTCAAATCAGTATAAAGCAAAATTGTGTATCATTTTAATGTAGGTTATAGTGTTAATACGTAGTTCACTGGGAAATTCTGTCACTTCACTAAAGACAGATTAAGCTAAGAACTATAAATAAAACAGGTACATTAATCTAGTTTAATATCAGTTACAATACTTTATAGAAATTACATATACTGTATTTATGAAGGCATTTGCTGTACTGAGGGAAAAAAAATTGAAGTATAAAGCAAAATTGTGTATCATTTTAATGTAGGTTATAGTGTTAATACGTAGTTCACTGGGAAATTCTGTCACTTCACTAAAGACAGATTAAGCTAAGAACTATAAATAAAACAGGTACATTAATCTAGTTCAATATCAGTTACAATACTTTATAGAAATTACATATACTGTATTTATGAAGGCATTTGCTGTACTGAGAAAAAATATATTGAAGAATCAGCTTTATTTCAAGTGATTAAATCGTTATGTATGTATCAAATTTTAGTCTGTGACTTTGTCCTCTTTTATTCATTACGACTAAAATGGCGTACAAGTGCATTTCTATATGCCTGGGAATTGTTCATGTCCTTAACTGGTGGTTGGTCATTCCCTATGGGTTGAATGTCTGGAGGCACATTTTCGATGTTGAAGTCTATGACATCACGCTCTACTTCACAAAGATTGTGAAGTACACAGGCAGCAGTGACTAGGTGGACTATATTTTCAACCTGAAAGAAGAAGTAGGAAGTGATTCTGCACCCTGAAAAATCATTAATTTTTATAAGAACATACACAAATGCCTAGATGTCTGTCTCTTCACTTTTTTTGTATAACATTTATAATTTTCTATTTTGTTTTCCTGAACCTAAATACTTGGCACAATGAAGCAGAAAACTTTGTAAACTTAATAGAAAACAAAGTACATAGAAGCACATTTTGTTCCATAATTGAAGAATCTCAGTGTAGATCTCTAGATTTTCTTTTTACCATGCTTTCATTAAGCTTATAGATGCTTCTCCAGCGCATCTTTAGCATTCCAAATGTTCGTTCTACAACAATGCGTGCACTGCTTAATCTAGTGTTGAAGCGATGTTGATCAGGAGTTAAGCGGCCAGTGTCAGAAAACCCCTTCATTAACCAGGGCAGTAGCGGATAGGCCGGATCGCCAATAAGAAAGAGAGGCACCTGGACACCTTCTATCTCTGCAGTTTGCTGTACATTGTATGAAAATCAATATTAAGGTACATAAAACATAAAATTATGGTGTTGCTTTAATTTTGATTAATCACTTATCCGAAGACAGATAACAAAGAATATGAAAATCAAGCAAGATTTAAGGAGGTAATACCATTGGAAGAAGCCTTCCTGCTTGAGCTCTTTGAAACAGAGAGGAATTTGAAAGCACTCTTGCGTCATGCACGCACCCCGGCCACCCCACTAGAATATCAGTAAACCTGTGAAAATATTGTAAGCAGAAATGGTGTCAAAGAAATTATACAAAATGGCAATAAGATTGGGCAAGCGTATTAAAATATTGCCTGGATTGTCCACCTGTCAAGGTGCATCATTCATATATAACATATAATCTTTGGCTAAAATATCCAACAAATAGGTTAATTTTTTCCTACAATTAAAACCTTGTATCCTTTGAAAAAAATTGTGAAGGGGACGAAGAAAAGAAACAGTTACCGGCATCGATGGTCGACAACTGCCTGCAGTATGACAGAATGAAAACCTTTACGGTTTACATAATCCTTGGCATTCTCTGAAGGGGCTGATATTTCTATATTTCTATGTGACTGCCGTCAATAGCTCCTACACATTGTGGGAAGTTGAGCTCATGTTGAAATCCCTCTAAAACTTCCTGCAGGTTTTCTCCACGTGGGAATGCAATAAGACTAGGTAGTAGATGGTCTTGCATTACTCTGCAAATTTCATGTGTAATTACACAAGCACTTGATGTCCCTACAGCGAAGAGCTCCCCAATCGTTCTGTATGCATCTGGAGTAGCAAGACGCCAAAGTGATATTGCTACACGCTTGTCAAGAGGTATGGGATTGCGGAATTGGGTGTTTTCATATTGCACGTAAGGACGAATTCTATCAACAAGAACGTTGAAGGTTCTCCTCTTCATTCTAAAGTGCGTCTTCCAGTCAGCATCATTGAAAGTAGTCAATGCATACTCCCACCAATGCCGTGGACGTGGTCGAACCCACATTTGTCTCCTTATGGTATACAGTTCGGTCATTTCCTGGAGCTGTCTCTTATACACATCTAGGTAACATTGCTCTGTTCATTCTCTGTTTGAGGTGAAGAAACAAGGGTAAAATACGGCGGATGTTTGACGATGTTGGGTTATTAACATAATGGTAGAGCATAACTACAAGACCACGGAACCTTAACTTGAATGATTGGGATATCATTAGCAATATCTTAAGCATCAAAATTGCGGATATACCGATTACTTCTGACAATGGCATGATGTTGCTTGCGCCTATACTTGGGTTTGGTTTAAAGCCTACAGTGACTCTAAGCTCCTCTTAAAATGTTACACATGCATAAATGCCAAGAACATGGTTTTATAATCTGAATGCTCGTATTTCGAAAACATTTTCGTTCGGTGTGGTATGTGAACATGTGCCGAGAACATAATGTTACGAAAACATTTTATGCCGAGTACATAATCTGAATGCTCCCACAGAGTAAAAGACATGTGTTCATACAGTGCTCTGACTACCATATGATTGACTGTGATATATAATACCAGTGTGTCAATATAGCCCTAGACAACATTGTGTGAACACATGTTGTACACTCAGTGGAATTTTTCTAAAGGGATATTGATAATACAACAGAAATTTTGCAAACTCATTTCGTTCCATGGTTTTTGGCAAGGGGTGAAGGGGTGATGCGAATACTCAGAGGGATCACTGCAAAATGATTTATCTGTATTTAATTGTTTATGACATAATGCCACATAGCTCAGTTGGTATACAATAATGAAATAATAAACTTTACATTTTATTTCAGAAAAACGGAAAGGTACTGTACATCGACGACTGTTTTTTGAGCCAAATAATTACTGAAAATGGAAAGGAAAACGTAAGTGATGTAGTTCCTGCATTTCATTTGACGTTGGTCATTAATCATTTAATACTAATTTACAAAAGCATATTTGTGGACTATATAGTTTTAGTATATACTTAGGATATATCAAATTAAACAAATATTTTTTTTTAAATGGTTTAAAAGCATATTGTGAAGGAATGAGAGATAGTTATTGGCAAACACATATACCTGCATTAACAATAATATAGAAACACAGTGATCATGATGGGGGGATGTGTGTATATAATGTGTGTATAATGATAGAAGCATAGTGGCAGAGGAAGATCAGGGGTTTATCCAGGATTATTCCTGGGTGGGTTTGTGATCATAATTTTTTTTAACCTTTTTCACAATGAAATAACAGCAAGATGTTATTAAAATGTCAATACAATTTAATAATAATAATAATAATAATAATAATAATAATAATAATAACAATAACAACAACAACAAATATTTATATAGCGCCAATTTAGAAATAATAGAAATTGCTGCCTATGAGCAGTTTAAAGCCTCGTTTAATAAAGTGCAAAAAATTCGCATGAATTGGCCTACCATTAGAACAACTGTTGTGACTAACAATATTGGCAAAGTTACACCTAATCCTAGTCCTTATCTGAGACTGCAACGCCATTGAGGATAATCTGTTGCTAGTGGGAGACAAAAAAATCGATTACAGCGCCACCACCTTCAAGCGGATGGCAGGCTCAGTTTCAGAATTGCGGTTTATATTGATGGAATTGAAATAGATTACACGTCACGCAATTGGCAAGGTCTTTCATTGCTGGTACATCATCAATGATTTTATATTTTTGCTAGAAAGTAATGTCTTTGGAAAAAATCTGGACTTTTGAACATTTTTGGGGGGTCGTACGACATTTCTGACCACCCCCCCCCCCTCCCTGTGTATAAGAGACAGCTCATGAAGATACTCATAGAAATACAAATGAACATATTGACATAAAGCATGTTGACGGGCATATGTATAGGAAACGAGAGAAAAATAATGACTGGGAAAGATACATGCGAAGCGGGAGCAGGCTATAGATTTTCACCATTGACGTCTGTCAACAAATATGTATTTCTTTAAATTTATATAGGTCCAATATGCCTAATACAGCCTCGACTAGATACCAGTACATATTCACTTTCATGAATGATCATCCTTCTGGCCCAAAAACCAGACTAGGTTCATGAATAAGCTATTTCATGAAACGCTCATTAATTCAATAATTTTATTAAATTTCTTAAAAGATTCTAGCAATGGTTTTGATAATTTAAAACAATTTGTTGTGTATTAAAATACTGTCAATGTATAATTAAGATCCTTTGGAAACCGTTAGAAAACGTTTGGGACGGGAGTGCAATTTTCAGGAATCTAGAGTTGCAACTTGCTCCACCATCCTTATTTTATCTCAGTCCTAAACTCAGTGCATGCATGCCTATGTGGGTGTTGAGACTCCTGATAATTTCCTCCTACGTTTTTTTTAATTTCCAAAACATATTTGATTAACTTAAAGTTTAAAAAGTCAAATTTAGACACATAAGAATATGAAAAGTCTAACAGTGCAATATCAAGCCATTTAGAGTTGCCACTGCAAGCCTGAATATTTTCATCCCAACCCACCTTCAACTATGTAAGCCTGACAATATTATTTCTGGCATTTAAAGTTGCTCCGTCTTTAATTATGTTTGCCACAATTCGTCTGGTAGAAAAAAAAAATTATATGAATTTTCCACATATTAATAGACTCTAAAAACGAATAACTAAGAAATTGTCGTAATTTGTTGATAGATTCGCCCCCTGGACTACTTTGGAAAGATTTTGAGAGACGCCGACCACGCCCACTTGTCGGGAACCTCAGCCTCCCTCTGTTCGGAGACCTTAGACTCCCAACCCCATCGGACCACTCCTGGCACCGCCACTGCCTTACCCCTAACCATGATAGGGCTGAGGTTGATGGTGACACGCCTGGTATTTACCCCTTTCTATTTTCCCCAAAATGCGCAACACCTTATTTGATCTAATTAAAATTTGAATGACATAATTTCAAATTAAGACAATTTAGAATAAATATATCAAGTTCAAGTATGCAATTTCTGGGCATAGTAAAATATACCGTAGTGTTGTTAAATCATCATTGATTTGTTTTCGTCTCAGCTCCAATCATGTCGGGGCTGAGGTAGGTGTAGATTTTCCTGGTATTTGCCATTATCTCCTATTTGATTTACCGTATTTAAAATTGAACGCCAGCAATATAGGCTACTGTCAATATTTCCAAGTTCAGTTCCAACCGTGGTGGTACTGAGTGTGTGTGGCACTTTTAGTACTTGACCCTCTCTTAAAATGTGAACGCCCCCTTATCAACGAGTCTAGCTACGGGGCTGAATGGAATGTGTTGAAAACGAATGATATTGCTTACATTGGTTTTGTTTACAATCATGTAGGCAGCGTTTGTTCGAGAAAAAAAACCTGCTCGGGGTGTTAATGCGAGAGAGGCGTTTATTCCAAATGCGGCTATGGAAGGGGTGTTTATTCAAAAAAATTCTGTATTTGTATTTTAATATTACGCAGCCTTTGACTGTATAGTAGAATAATAGATGGAACATTTCACACTAGCAGTCCCTAGCATACCCTACATTTTACCCACCGTCGCGTATCCCTGATCCCATATCCCTGAACAAATATTAATTACTTTGGCATGAAATTTACTTTTTACTGGTGGTAGAACAAGTCTTCTCTGTTAAGGACTATAAACCGTAAAGCCCATAGTATACAGTATACAATGGCTTGTGTGCACTATAAAGAACCCAGTACATCATTCGAGACGAGTAGGGGGATACTCCCGTGTACTGGAACAGACATCCCCTGTGGTGAATTCCATTTTAATATTGGAGTAGTTTAACCATGGTAAAATTGTCCATTTAAAAGGCATACTGTACTTTGATTTTATACCTGCAGAACACACCTTCATGAAAAGATTGAATTCGATGATGAGCAAGGAATAAGAGAGTTAGTAAAGAGTCATCCTGAATGGATGTCATTTAAAGATGAAGAGGTAAGACATTTATATATATATATATTTATGTATTATATGTATATGTAAAGTCGTTTGTATAAAAAATTACTCACATATTATCATGAGCTTAACAATTGAAAAACAGTATAAACACAGGCGCACTGATCATTCGCAATTCTTGAAATGAAGAAAAAGTATTAATATCGTTGCCAATACATTTGTATTAATTATCTACAATAATTAATCAAATTGATTTAGATGAAATTTTCTTCATTATCACTGCAAAGTATGAAACACACTCTACATCACATATCAACATGATCCCTTTTCTAATTTTTAAATTGAACTGTAATTATACATTGTAAACGGTTCAAAATATGAGATCGATTTGCGAAAGTCGGGCAAATCAGGAATCATTACTTAATGTTAGGATGAATATTGGGCTAAAATTACAAATAAATTAGTAAAATGCATAAAATGGGATCATAATCTGAATTGCTAGTATTTGTTTTCCCTGCCTAGCACTGTGAAAATAGTTCTGTGCATTTAAATGGTTGGAAAAAAAATGTTAAAAACATAGGCCTATGTTGTGATTAATCACACAAACACATATCACCGTCATGGATAGAACTTATCCTCATGGATATTTTACTGACATTCAAATGTGCAAGAAATAACCTAAATATGGTATTCATGACAGTGGTTCCCAACCTTGGGTCCGCTGATCTCTTAAGGATCCGCGAAGAATAATTGGGGACCCGCCAAATTAAAGAGGTCCACGAAAAATGTGGGTGTCCATGGTGGGACTGAGGTGGTTTCTATTTCAAATTCCAGGATTCGCCACTGTTTAATGTTTTACTTTCATAGGGAATCATTTTCTATCTATAGAACTATTGTTGGGATATGGACAATGAGTAATATTTAAACATGTGTAGAGGGGTTCGCGAACTCAAAAAGATTGGAAAGTGATTGTCAGGGATCTTTCACAGACTCCTAAAAATTAGAAATAAAATCCCATAAAAGTATTAGTATCTAAATAGGCCTAGTAAAAAGATATGTTAATGTACCCATTCCCGAATAAACCTGTCGT